TGGCACTCCTCAACACACAAGAAATTAAAATTCTGAGGATGTGAAACTAATGGTGTACCTAGAACATTAGTAGAAGAGAGGATGGAACATTAAAATTCTGAGGATGTGAAACTGATGGTGTAGTTAGAACATTAGTAGAAGTCCAGTTTTGCTTCTCTTTTCGAGACCATCCAACTCCGTGATGATTTCTGTTAAAGTCCTGAGATGAAGACTTGACAGTTCTTCCTTTCGGCTGTAAAGTGTCAGAGAGAGATGAAGATGAGATGCCTGCACAACATTAAGAATGACGAGAACCCATCTCAATAGGACCTCCACCAGTCGCTGCAGTAGATAAGTTCATCCATCTTCTCTTGCCCGGAGAATTCCAGAAGATTGCAGATGTATCATTGAGAAGACGCCTCTGTAAGTGACTAACTCCTTTAGAAATAGGTGGGTTGGGCTTGGAATTGATAAAAGAAACTAACATTTTATTATTGGGCCCCTCAAAACCTTTCTCTTCAGGTTACTCACTTTTGGTCCATAACGTGAATTGGCAATGGGCTGTGGGCTAGGCTTGTTCTTAAAAGAAAGAGCCCCCCGATGAACAGCCCTTTGCAACTCCTGTGGGCCGGGATGAACAAGCGGCCCATTTGACGAAATAGGCCTGTAACCCACTTCAGATCTGTGCTTAGGCCCATCAGAATCCACAGCATTAAAAACTCCCTTAAAGCCTGGATCTCTGCCATGTGGTTGGTATCCGTTAACGCGGATATTACGAGGGAACGTAAGGCGGTGACTAAGGGCTTGATTGATGGCCCCTCTACGCGCTTCTGGCATGTGAATAGGCAATCGCCTCTTTCCTTCGACGCCATGGAAGATTTGTGCATTCCGGCGACTACCTTCAGTTGAAGCAGCTGGAATATGTGGACTCTCCCCAACGCCATAGTAAGATTTCGGAAGAATACGAGGTGTTATTTCATCTATCAAGTTGACCCTGTAAGCCACTCGTTGGTCCTCAACAAAAACATACTCTGGCATCACTTTTCCGGCGGAAACATAGAGGAGAATTCGTTGTCAATCAATCAACAATTGACATATCGATTGAGGCTTTTTGATTAAACGAGCTATGTTGGAATGGAGGAAGAATAGAGTACTGGCGGATTTTACTGAGATTGATTGTCTTGAGGAGGTGGGAGGGGATGTGGAATTTCTACGTTCCAGGAGAGCCTTTTATCAGGCGGTTCTTGCTGAGATTGCTAGTATGGAGATCTCGTGGCGACAAAAATCCCGGGCTCTTTGGCTAAAGGAAGGAGATCGGAATACAAAATTCTTCCACCTGTTAGCTAACGCTCATAGGAGGAGTAATCATATAGGGAGAATTCGGGTGGATGGCGAGGAGCTATAGAGAGAGGAAGAGGTGTGTAATGGTATTGCTTCCTTTTATCAGAAGCTTTATACTGAGCCTTTAGTTTGGAGGCCCAAACTTGATGGTCTTTATTTTGAGGCTATTTCTGAGCTAGATAGAGATAGGATTGAGAATCCTTTCACTGAAGAAGTTCTTAAGGCTTTATCAAGTTGTAATGGGGACAAAGCTCAGGGACCTGATGGCTTTACCATGCGATTTTTGATGGAAAGTTGGGTAGTTGTAAGAAATAAGGTAATGGATACTTTTCAGGAGTTTCATTCTTTTGGCGTCTTTGAGAAGTTGCTTAATGCTTCATTCATTGCCCTTGTCCCAAAGAAGGGAGGCGCTTTATATATAAAGGATTTTCGTCCAATCAGTTTGGTGGGCTGTATTTACCAACTTATTGCTAAGGTGCTTGCTTTAAGGATGAGGGAAGTAATGGATAGGATTATTTCGGACTCCCAGAATGCTTTTGTTGGCGGACGGCAAATTCTTGATTTAGTTCTTATTGCTAGCGAATGTGTGGATTCCAGATTGCGGAGTGGTATTCCTAGAGTTTTATGCAAACTTGATATTGAGAAAGCATGTGATCATGTGAATTGGAATTTCCTACTCTATTTGTTACAAAGAATGGGGTTTGGAAGTAAATGGAGGAAGTGGATTGAGACCTGTCTTTCGTCTGTCAAGTTTTCAGTTCTTGTGAATGGTTTTCCTGTTGGTTTCTTTGGTTGCTTTCCGGGTATAAGACAAGGAGATCCTTTATCATCTTTCCTTTTTCTTGTTGTTATGGAGGGATTAAGTAGACTTATGCGTAGGGCAGAGGACCTTGGTTTTATAAAGGGATTCAGGGTGGGTAGAGATTTAGTCCATCAGATGGAGATTTCTCATTTACTCTTTGCAGATGATACCCTGGTTTTTTGTGATGTGTCTCAACTTCTATACTTGAGGTGTGTATTAACTTGTTTTCAGGCAGTTTCCAGGCTAAAGGTCAATGTGGCTAGGAGTGTGCTTGTCCCAATAGGGAATGTTCAGGATATTTCCTCTTTAGCTGCAGTCCTTGGATGCAGGGTGAGCTTATTCCCTATTCCTTATTTGGGCTTGCCCCTAGGGGTCTCTTCAAGGTTAGTGGGGAGTTAGGATTCCGTGATTGACATGTATGCGAAGAGATTGGTTGGATGGAAGAAGCAATACTTGTCAAAGGGGGGTAAAGTTACTCTTATCAAGAGTACGTTATCGAGCCTTCCCACTTATTTTCTTTCTATGTTCCAAATCCCTTGTTCCGTTGCAGATAGGATTGAAAAAATTCAAAGTGATTTCTTATAGGGAGGAAAGGGTGATGAGTTCAAGTACCTCCTTGTCAGATGGGAGGGAGTTTGTAAGCCTGTGAAATTGGGTGGACTTGGAATAAGACGTTTAGTTCCTTTCAATCAAGCTCTCTTGGGTAAATGGTTATGGAGATATGGGAGGGAAAGACATCGTTTATGGCGCAGGTTAGTCTCTTGTCGGTTTGGGGAAGAGGCTGGAGGTTGGTCTACACATCCGGTTACCCTGGTGGGAGGAGTAGGGATGTGGAAGGCTATTTGGAAGGGCTAGGATGTTTTCTATGCTCATATCAGATTCAAACTCCGTGATGGTCGTCGCATTCGGTTTTGGGAAGATCTTTGGTGTGGGCATCAGCCATTTTCTCTTATATTTCCTAGATTATTCAGTATTACTGTTGATAAACACGCCTACGTAGTTGATTGTTATCGGCTTGATAGCAGCGGGATTACGTGGGATGTGCATTTTCGACGCTCTTTTCAGGATTGGGAGATGGACGAGGTATGTGTTTTTCTGGATCTTTTGTATCGGCAGGAGGGTGTTGGCAGAAGTAATGATGTTTTAATTTGGGCTCCTTCTTCCCACGGTCATTTTGAAGTTAGTTCCTTGTTCTTATGTTTGTCTAATTTTGTTAATCGAGGCTTCCCGTGGAAAATTATTTGGCGGTCTATGGCTCCAACTAGGGTGGCTTTCTTTGTTTGGACAGCTGTGTGGGGAAAAATTCTGACAATTGATAACCTGAGAAAAAGGGGCAATTGTATTGTTAATCAGTGTTGTCTATGCCAGGATGATGAGGAGTCTGTTGATCACCTCCTTTTGCATTGCCCTGTGGTGAACGACTGTTGGAATCTTATTTGTTGGGTTGTTTGGCATGTGTTGGGTTATGCCACGATCTACTAAGGAATTAATTCATGTTTGGAGAGGATGTCGAGTGAGAAGAGATGTTCGCGATTTCTGGAGAATTGTACCACATTGTGTATGATGGTGCATTTGGAAGGAGAGAAATAGCAGAATGTTCGAAGGGAAAGAGTCGCCTACGGCAATGGTCAAACTTTACATTCTTCGTTCACTTTTCAATTATGTGAAGAGGAGCTTTTGTTCTTCTTCTGATGATTTAATTACTTTCTTAGATTCTTTGGGGCCTTGTTCCCGGGTCCACTTTTGTATTTGGGACGCATTCTCATTTTGAACGCCTTTTTTTTATGTTATTTTTACTTATAAAAAAAAAATTTATATTTAAATATGTTTATTCCAAATACAACTTCATGCATTAAGAACATGTTTTTTACGAATCAAAACACATATGCATTGTGCTGTCCCCTAAAATGAGTCATGACAGAATTAATTTTGGTGAGTTGGGTATTAAAGAGTTTTTTTCCCCCCTCTTTTATGTATCTTCAAATTCTGATTATGCCCTTGGACATAGGTATGACCATTAACTAACTAACCAAACCAACTTTTGAAAATAAATCAAAAGTTAGAGACTCTGGCTATTGTTATGAAATTTGCCGACACTGAATTCTAATCCTAACAACTACAATTTCTATAGACTGATTATTTTTTCGCCTAATACCCAATGGAATATAGGGTTGACCAGTTGTCTTTGCATATCCACCTTCGATGGAATATGGTTAAGTAGTGGTCTTTGTATATCCACCAGACATGATAAGTGTAAAGGCCATTGTCCAGTATTGGTCCCACCTATGTAGGGTGATTGGAGTGATGCATGAGCCAAAACTTATGATGAGTTCTTTAATTTCTTTAGCAAGGAAAAGAAATGATAAATAAATCAACTTGTTACACCAGTAATGCCAATCATATCAAGTTCTTTACGGGTTGTCTTGAAAAGTTTCATCTTATAATAATGTTCAACTTGGGGTTAGACTTATCAAAAAAAAAAAAAAATGTTCAACTCGGGGTTAGCAATTTTGGATGCCAGTGTATAATTACTGCCTTCACATTTGACTAAGTTATAACTTGATTATCAGTGTATGACCTAATATTTCAATGTGACTGGGCGATTTATTTATTTTTAAACGATTCCAAACCATAGTTCTTCTGATATTAACCATGTTGGGAAATGATTGAAAATAGATTCAGCAAGACCTCTTTTAAAAATAGAAGTGATCTTCATTAACTGAGATCAACCTCCTCTCTTTTTGTGTGTGCGCCAGGTTGCTGGCACTTATGCTAGTGTGTGAACTAGACATTTTCATCAACTGAAAATTGAATGGTTTTGACTCCATTTTTGTTCAAATCCCTTCCATATGGTAAATTATTTCCGCTCTTTTTGTAGGTGTGAAGTTGGAATTCAAGAGCTTCCAAAAAATTCTGCTTTGGGAAGATTGAGGGGAAGTGACAACGTGGTGAGCCACTCTTTGTTTTTCTTCTCTCTCTCTCTCTATGTTTTTTTTTTCCTCATGTTCTTTTGTATCAGTGTTTTCTCTTTTTGATTGAGAATGCTTAGCCATTGATTTTTCACTCGGTCAAGAAAAATGGACTTAATCATCACGAGGATTATATTATTGTTGAAGTAATTCTTTTTATGTTAGTATTGGTGATTTTATTTTGTCGGGAGTATGAGGATCTTCTAGGAAGTTCTCTCTCTCTCTAAAAAAAAAAAAAAAAAATACCTGTGGTGGGGGGAGGGTGGTTTTTGAAAGTAGTTCAATGCCGTTGTGAAAGGGTCAAAATATTTAACATTTGGTGCTTTAGGAAGGTTTAGGTTAAGAAGAAACCATATCCTTACAAGAGTGGTAGAGGTAGACGATAGGGAATATATACATAATTACATATATAGATATATGTTATAGGTGGACAGGGAGAGGTTAAAGTGAGTTTTATTAGTGACAAAGGAAAAGCTCTATTTCTGATGCAGATTAAAGTCTTTTAATTGAGGGACATAAATATACAAAATTCCTCCACTCAAGTGCCAATGGAATGACCAGGATGAATTTATTAAAGACTCCGTGTGAGGAGGGCATGGGTAAAGAGGTGGTAGCTAAAATTTGTAGCAATTTGTGCTTTGAGAATCATTACCGTACATCTGTTCCATGTTGTGTGTGCATTTATTATGTCCCTTAGGACAAAGACGTTCATTTTCCATGGCTCCATTAAAGGGCTCTGATCTGGATGAACTACCAAACATTGTCTATTTTATGCAAGGTTCTTATGAATAGACTCAGGCCCCTACTCCTGAAGTTAGTTTCAGCCACAGAGTTTTGTTTCTTTCCTGGTTGGCAAGCTGGTGACAACATTATACGTCAAGAACTGCTTCATTCTACGAAGAAGAAAGGGAGCCTTGATATTATGAATTGACTTGAAGAAGGAATGTGAGGAAGTCGTAGCTTTTAGAATCTGCTCTTCGAAAAGTACTATATATCTCTCCTTCTTATCATAATGTTTACCAACCCATGAAATACTTGGGGGGGAGAGAGTATATGTGTGTGTACTTAAGTGGTTATATAGAAAAAGATTGTGGAAGGTATGAAATGGTGCATGGCAACTGTTAACAACCATCTACTACAAAAGCTCAAGCTGTTAGAGAGGGTGTAACTTAAATTTATAAATCCTTCAACGGCAACCATTGTGCGTAAAATACGGTATGGGGAAAAGACGGATACGGGAATGTAGGAGTATAATTCGATTATGAATTCCGCCGAAAAAAAAAAAAAGGTAGGAAACAAAAAAATAAGAAGATGAATAACTTACGTGTGTGATATGTTGTATGGGTTAAAAAATTCGGGACCCAAAATTCGGCTACACACATGTTAAACTTAAGAATCTGATGTCATTCTCCAAACAACTCCTAACCACAAAGAGTGTGTATATATATATATGTATATTTCTATACAGCTATATGCCATTAAATCATAAGTTCATAAAAATCATACACAACTGAGAATTTGATCTAGAATCTCCCATATATATCATATAAAAACCCGAGTTCATAAAAGTCTCCCATATATCTATATATGTATGTAATCTAATGTCTTTCTCGCATGTTCTTTGAGTTCTATGACATAAGTCGATACACCCATATTTCGACGTTTTATATATTCCATTACTTGATCAAACGTTCCTGATCATGCTTTGTAGTGATGAAGACAACAGGATTAGAAAAAATAAAATTAGAGAGATAACAAGTCTTCTCTCTTCACAAAGCCTTCATTGTTGACCGCTGGTCTTAAAAGAGTGAAAGATGATGGCAATTCGAAGCAAAAGATGGTAATTTACGCCTTCCTATGTACCTGTTTATAGGTTCTTAGCCTGGTTACTTGCATCCTTGTAATCCTGTGACGCCTGTGGGCGTATTAGCTATGGTGTGAACTAACAAATTGAGCTTAATATTGATGTTGCCCATCTCATTGCTTAGGACTTCCATTGTAGCTCGATCTTCATATGACATATCCTAAATCATGCCCTAGAGTGTTGCATGATAATAAATGCGTACACTTGTCAAGATGTGACATTTTGATCATCTCCTTAAACAATATTGGCTTCTATTATTTCCAGGCATTTTTTGTTATTGTGGGGGTGTGTCAACCTACCTTCAAAGGCATCCCCTGGACTGCTAAAAAGGATCTTGCACAACATGTTACATGTAACTTGTGCTTTGCATCTGATGTGAATTCTCGTAGCATTTAGCAAGCAAGCTCTTGACACATGAGCTTTCTTGGAGAAGCCGCATGGGAAATTGAAATTGTCAATTGGGTTGATACCTTGGCACCATGTGACGAGTGCGGGATGTCACATTAGTATCACCTAGAACAAAGGTGTGAAGTGCTCGCACCAAGCGCAGAGTTTAAAAAACATTACAACATAGTTTCATAAATAAGTGAAATCCAATTATTTTAAGGAATATGCAAATTCACAATTCAAAACCTCTTCTATTTTCTTGATAGGGCTCTAAGAACCCTCTCATTATACATCTTCACCTTTAAAGGAATGCAGAAGTAAAAAATTTCTTGTTTGCAGATCAGTATCAAAATGTTTCAGAATGACCTTGTTATGTACTAGTAGCCTCAGAGTTACTGCAATCATTTCTAGTGGTAAATGAATAGTATCCCTAAAGCATTAAATCCAGAAATAAGTAGCTACTGAATTACACTCGTAGAGGCATTTGCTGACCTAGAAATGACAGTGATCTCCTCTTAAGGTTAAAACTTAAAACAATAATTAGGATTTTTTTTCGAAGTTAAAGCAAAAACATGCGCACCCATTATCCACAATATGTCCCTAGTGGGACTCGAACTCTCAACCTCCCCGGGGAGAGATCATACCATTGGGCTAGAGGCCCTTTGGTCATAATTAGGAGTTTTTGCCCCTAGAAACAATTACTTTCCCTTTCTTTTCTTTTCTTTCCAGAAGAAGAAGCTCTTGTATCCTCTTTTGACTGCACACGTGACTGTTAATACAATTTACATTTCATGGTAGTTTCCAAAGTTACTATGGCAATGTACCGAAGTTATATATCCTTTTCTTTTCAAATTTATTCTTCTGATTCCAGCAATATGCATCCAAGACACCTGTATTGAAGAGTTTTGTGAAATCTGACCATTTGTATTCAATGTTACTGCAGTTGGAGATATATAGTCGGTGTTATAGTGAACAACCATTGGTTATTCAAGGTGCTGGAGCAGGCAATGATACAACAGCAGCTGGTGTTCTCGCTGATATAATTGATATTCAAGATCTATTTTCCTGAGAAGACTTTTTGTGCCTTGCTCTGTAGAGACTCGGAGCCCAAGTGGAAAGGTCTGTTGTTTATCAAGGCAACAAAGAGATACCATAGTTTAAAAACTGTTGGGTTACTGTACTTAGAGACAGATGAGATAGTTTTCGGAAGTTTTTCTTACATGTAAAATTTTGAAAAAATCTAGTAATTTATTTTAATATTTATGAGGGTACATCGAGGTTAATCTATCGATTTGGCGAATCCATCTGAATAAAGCTGGAGGATATTAATCTCATACATGGATAGACATGGGTGCCATTTTCTTCTTGTATTGTGTCTGATAAATCAAGTAGTCAGTTTGGGAAATCCGAAACACTATCAGATACTTTAAATACCATTTCCATCGAAAAAACATCAAACTAAAACATCGAATTCAAAAGAAAAACTAATGGCATGTATTTATTTGGAACTCAGAAGCGTTTGTTACGACAACAATGATGTTCAAAATTCAGTACAAAGAGATGGTCCAGCTGCCATTTATAATAGAGGGATATTTAAAATTCAGCGACCTCGGTACGATCAAAGTAGCAACCAGTAGGACCTCCTTCGGGTAGAAGAGCCAGCATGACAGAACCTTTAGCTCCCTCTTCCACTGTCAAAGTCCCTGTATGCCAATTTATATCTGTATTAACATATCCAGGATGGACACAGTTGATTAACATGTTAGGGTACTTCTTGGCAAGAACTCTGGTATAGGCATTAAGGGTGGCCTTTGATACGCTGTATGCAGGCAGCATTTTTGACCATCCATTGGCTTCGAGCTCGTCTTGCTTAAAATCATGCAAAAACTTTTCCACTATCCTATCAATTTTATCTTCTGTCAGATTGTCTATATCTGCTAGTTCTTTCCTTGTCTCCATACTGGGAATCCGCTGCAAAAGAACAAGAAGTTGTTAGATGATACCTTGTCGTGAGACTTTGTTTTAACTTTCGGTTTTGAGAATGTGTAATTCCAACAGGTGAATGAACCGAAGCAAATCTGTGCAAATTGTTCCAGTAAGAGGATATCTATCCGAAGAAGATGATCTCTACTTACCCATAATTCACCGCGGAGGGAAGAGACATTTACTATCCTTCCTCCGCAAGTGGAAAGCTGTAGCAGGGGAAGAAGAGCTTCTGCCACTCTCTTGCAACCATAGTAATTGATGTTCAAGCATTGTTCTGCACTTGCATAGGTTGATTTAATCACACCTTGTACCAAATTGGTTGCCTTGCCTGAGAGCTGTGTTGAAAAAAATTGATCATAGATTATTAGTGTCCAGTTGGTGTTCCCTGTTCAATGAAAAAACTTGAGCAATCAACAGTTTTAACTTACCCAAGAAGTTGGATCTATGTTTAGGGCCCTTAGGCCATCCTCATCAACTATCACTCCAGAAGCTCCAGCATTGTTTACCTGTACAACTTAATGACTTGAGTTTTCAACCTTTTTTCCATATCCATCATTTAGAAATGGGTAAAAGGGCAAAAACCCTTGTTATATATGGAATGTGCAAATACTCTCTCGGTGTTCGAAAAAATACTTCCTCCCTCCGTCCCAATTTAGTTGTCAATCTTTCTATTTTTTGTTGTCCCAAGTTAGTTGATTATATAAATATTCGAACTTGAAAGGGTAACTTAGTAATTCTCAAAGGAGACAGCGTAAGTCCCCATAAAAAGTTATACTCCCCAAGTGTGACATCTAATGTGGGAAAGAGGGAGTCCATTTCTCAAATTGAGCAAATAAGGACATTTTGTCACTTTTAAGACAAATACCTAAAATGCCCTTAAGACAAAATAAATATAAAAAACATTGCTTTCAAACATTGATTATTAAGGGTATTATGGGGTTTTAGTAAAAAAAAGGGTCAAAATTGACGGTTAAGGGTAATTTGCACATATTTTCAAATGTTAAGGATTTAATGCACATATGAAACTGCTCACTGCACATATTTTTATATAGCAGGAGTTTTTTTTTTTAAAGTTACCCTTCGAGAAATATTAATCCTCTATATGTAGCCCTAAGATATTTTCTCAACTCTCTCATAGAACCAATTCAACTTTCAGTTCTTGGTTATGTAATCTACAAACAACTTAAAAGAGTACAATTCAAACCAAAACCAAATAATTCCAGATAAAAATAGAAAACTAGATAGTATCATTAAAGTCCCTGTAGTTTCAGAGAAATGGTTGTTCCAGAACTTGCACTAGAGATAATAACATCCTTACCAAGATATCAAGCCTTCCATATTGAATCTGTAAAAATTTGGCCAAGGAATTGATGCTATCAGGGTCCTGAACATCAAGCTGGTGGAAGACTACATTTGATAGACCTGACTCATGGAGCGACGCCACGGCAGCTACACCCCTCTTCTCGTCTCTGGCCGTTAACACGACCGTCACGCCGGAGGTTGCAAGCTGCCGGACAGTCTCAAGTCCAATGCCCTTGTTTGCACCGGTAACCACCGCATACCTACAACACCAATCTACAGATCAAACATCACAAGGACAAAAAAAGGCGAAATCAAAAAAGGTTTAGCTCAGTGCAGGAGGGTCCGGAAGGAATTGATATATTCAGTCTTACCTCATATATGTGAAGAGAGTATTTTTTTTGTTTTAAACCCGTGACATCCGAGTCACAATAGAATAATCTTACAGCTGTGTCAAGACCAGCCCTCACAAAAAAACTGTGAAATTGAAGTGCTTAAAAAAGTTACTTACCTCTCTGGTGCTTGCTTTCCATGGTCTCCCATTTCTGCACTCATTTCAATGTGTGAAGAGTCTCTTCTTTGGTTTGTTGTAGCTTGTATGCTAAACCTAATTGAACTCAAAAACTTCAATATATATATATATATATAGATACTATTTGCAAGCTATAACTTTTATAGCTGAATCAAAAGTCCATATTTGTGTACTCTATTTGTCTTTTAATGGGCAGGTACTGCAAAAGAGAGGCCTGATTGTGGCATAATAGTAATAAAATTATAATCATGTGGTCAGATTTTTGGATCGTCCATTAATTTTTTTTTTTTTTTTTACATTAAAATTCAGGTTTTATAAAATAAAAAAGTCAATTGCTTTGGTCGTCCACAAAACATGACCCAAGAGGTTATATAAATCTACTTTTTTTTCTCAAGAAAGAACAAATTTCCAGGGAAAAAAATGCCAAACTTAAGAGTCTCCATTGTTGATTTCACAAATAAGCTGGTGGTTGCATTTCTTTGCGGGGCTTACAACATCACGTGTTTGACTTTCATTATAGTAGATTAAGGTTTTACATCATAACTCCAATTCAACATCTAATTTAAGTCAGTAAAGTGAATATTCAATAAATAGAAAATTATTTTTATTATGTAATTTCGATATAATTTAAACAAGTAAGCTTTACTTAAAATGAGTAAACATTCTAATCGAAGGTGATATTAATCATCATTATACCTTAAGATTCAAATAAGTATCAAAGAAGTTGTAAATTTACAAATGGTATATTAAACTTAGATGCTCAAAAATTTCAGATCTTAAACTAGCTTGTCCCATGGATCTGTGTGTCTATATATATATATATATAGAGAGAGAGAGAGAGAGAGATCCATACCTTAAGGAGCTGGAGGATACTTGAAAGGGATAAAAAGCCGGTACCCAGTGGAGTAATGATCTCAAAGAAGGAAAGGAAAGCCCACTAATGAATGGGGTTGGGCGGCGAATAAGTCAGTTTCATGGGAAGGGTAAAGTAAATCTCAGTCCCAACCATCACGCGACAACCCGTACGATACCAAACGCCACCCTGTCTCCAGGACTTTGTCACTACAATTATTTAGTATTGATTAGGGCTATTATCATAAAACCCACACAATTTTTAAATTTTGATCATAAACTTCTAACTTATTTTAAAAAATTACATACATTTTTAAAAGTGATCATATTGTCCCTACCTGACCGGTTACTATTTAACGTTAAATTAAAAACTAAAAATTATTTTTAAAAATTACAAAAATACCCTTATGGGTTGTTTTCTTCACATCTCTCCCTCTCTCTAAAACAGACCCAGTTCTCATTCTATCCCACACTTCATGGGTCTTTCAATGCTTCTACGACTAAAAATTGTTCACTGCCAAAAAAAAAGTTAAAAGGTTGATGTTAATGGACTTATGACAGAGATTTACAGTAGTGATATTTACAAGATACACATGTAAAGGTGTTAATTTACATATTTCGTTCAAGAGAATGACTTTGTTTCACTCATGAAACAAGTCCGTTGAATCATATCAAATGGATAATTCAGAACCTACCTACCATTCTGATTAACTGTGAAGTGTTCTCACCAACTAAACAGTTCAAATCACAATACAATTTCATTTATGCCTAGGTTTCCCGAATCCGTAGAAGATCATTTTTTTTTTCTAGGTTGGGGTTGGGTTACTATTTTATTGCACAATCAGTAGAAACAAATGAAATTTAGTATTGTAGCTTCCAACTGAAATTAATAAATTATCTTGAATAAATTCCACATCTGACTGTAGAATTTAGCGGGTGTTGGGTGATTTTGGACTAGGGTTTGTTGAGGCGTGAAGAATGATCGAGAGGGAAGCCATTGAAGTGGGTAGTGGATAAGGTGTTGGTTTTTTTTTTTTTTTTTTGATAAAGTGGCGGTTAGGGTTTGATGTGTCTGGTTGAGAGAGAGAGAGAGAGAGAGAAAGAGAGATGGGTGAGAGTTTTAGAGAGAGAGAGGGGGTGAAGAAGAGAACTCATAAGGTTATTTTTGTAATTTTAATAAAATATTTTTTAGTTTCTAAATTAACATTAAATAGTAAGGTCAAATTTGTTATTTTATAACCCGGTTAATGGGTCAGATATGGATATTGAAACAATGTGATCACTTTTTAAAGTATAGAGGGTTTTTTGAAACTGGTTGGGGGTTTATGATCAAAATTTGAAAGTAGTGGGGGTTTTATGATAATAGCCCTATTAACTACAGTCACACGTGTAAGGTTTGCTCTATTGAGCCACGTGAAAGTTAGTCCTTTTTAAGAATGATACCACCTCAAGTTTGATAAAGTTAATAAACATGTTCTGCTACATTTGACACTTGGTAAAATGACATTATTGCCATTTGACTTGTTAGTTGACCTATTTGAATTACAAAATTTTTTTTTTTTTATCTTTATAAGTCATTTTATTGGACCAAACTAATCCTCTCTAACATATTTTTAGATTAATAAACCAAGCACCACTGTAACGACCCAAACCCAATGGTCTAAATCGTTAACGGGTCCTTACTTGAACCCGAGGATTTACAAAGGCCAAAATGGTTATTATGTACTTTACTATGAGTTAGGAGTCATGATGAAGTTATACTAGTCATTTATAACCATATTGGATCATTAAAGAATGGTAACTCCGACTTCGGGTTCATACCAGAACTTTAGGCTCCAGAGGGGTAAAATAGTTATTTCAAATTAAAATTATAAAATAAGGTTGATGTCAATGGAAAGGTGGTTCAAAATACATCAATCTAGACTTAAGGATGGCCTAATTCGGGTTAGAAATAACCAAGTTATAATTGTTTAAAGTTTGGTCAATTCTGGTGATTTTGACAACCTTAAATTTCTAAGTCTGGGAAAATCCGATTGATTGGATTTAAATCCAATTGATCGGACCGAGAGCAGATTCTGGCATCATTTGAAAATTTTCTAAGTGTTGGAGAATCCGATCAATTGGATTGAAATCCGATTGATCGGACTGAACTCGGAAATGGACATGGGCTCCCAAGGGAGCTTTAGTTTGTTCCCACCTTGACATTATGGTCATTGGCACATTCATACAACTCAAAATCTGTCCCAAAACATCCACACACATAAATACATTGACAAAACAACGTCCACACATCATAATTGATCCATATTACATCATCATAGCCAAATTGAGGCAAGTTTGATAAATATACATAACCGAGTCAATACCTCTACATTACCGTTGGAATAAATACAAAATATTACATGATTTGTAATAATCCTAATTTAAAAAGGATAGTTTCGGCATTTTAGTTATTGTTTTATTACATTTTTATCTGATTATTTGCTTATTTGACTAATTGTTTTACTTATTATTATTTAATTGAGTTAATTGGGTTAATTGTATTACTTTTTTTATTTAATTGAATTAATTGTTTTAATTGTTTAAATAGTGTAATTGAATTATGCGTTTTATTTAAATGACTTCATTGGTTGATTTGATTCAATTAAAATATATTTGGGGTTTTATATGTCTAGGTAATCACGTATTGGGTATAGCCAACTTAGTTATAAATTTAATTATTTTTCTTTTCCTTCTCTGAGCATAATTACGATTAGGGTTTTATGGTTTTCTTAAGACTATAAATATTTAAGTACGTCTGTCTAGGGTTGGGAATACCCTATTCACGTACAAAGTGATTTGAGAGGAAAATAGAGGGAAGCTTGAGAGGAAAACAGAGAGGGATTTAAGAGATAACCAGGGAGGCTAAAGGAGGAAGGAAGGGATTGCTTTTGGATTGAACCAATAGCAATGGAGGTGTTGAACGGTAGTCTAGAATCTGTCGGAAAACTCAGAGACGGTGGTTTAAGGTTTCAAAACTGAAACCGAAGGTGAGTTCCTATTCTAACTCATTCCCTTAAACCTATGTTCTGTGCATGCCTAGGTAGTCTCCAGGGTTTTTAAATTGACATTAAAATTGATATTTTAATCATGTTTAAATTGAATTTAAATGCGTTGAATTAAACTGTTTAATGGTTGATACATGTTCTTTCTTAAATCTTAATCTGGTTGTTTTTAAACTGGTTTTAATTCATGTCGATGACATATGACACCTGCTTATAATTAATCTGGAATATAAATTGAACCCTAGGTATTTAACTAAGACAGTACAGAGGGTCTTGCATATCGCCGGAGGCGAGGAAGATGAACAGAAGTGAATTACGGCTCTCAGAGGGAGAGAGCCGGCTCTCCAAAGGAGGGAGCCGGCTTTAGGGATGAGAGAACGGCTCTCACAAGTGTGGAGCCGGCTCCACAAGGGGTGGAGCTGGCTCCACCAAAGGGAGAGCCGGTTCCCCATGGGGGAGAGCCGGTTCCCCATGGGGGAGAGATGGCTCCACCAAGGGGAGAGTCGGCTCCCTTGTTTTGGAGGCGGTTCTTTCTCCAATTTTGTTGTTTTTATGTGGTTTAGGGTTCTGTTTGGCCGTCTGGGGTATTTTAAAGTTGTTTAGACTGCAGTAGATGGTCTAAACAATTGTTCTGAACATACACAAATACTGTGAAGCATGACTTCAATAATATGCTAAAGAATGGAACAACATGAGGTTAAACAGTAAACTTGCATGTGGAGTATTAGATAGTTAATTTAAATTGCTTACTGATATTTAGCAATTTTGTTTCTCTGCATGATTTAATAATGTTAATCATGTTTCAGCAGTGTTATAAGCATAGTTTATTATTTGAAAATAATTATGCTTAGATGGAATTAATTGATGTTTTAATTTATTGTAAATTGCATCAATTGTTGGATTGTTTGGAGAATTTAAATGCTTAGTCTTATTCTAGCAATTTAAAGGAATGGAGCATGATTTTTAAATCTTATATTGGATGCATATTATGTTCATATACATATTAGACTTGGTTTATGCTTATCTTGGAGTATGGTTGATGATTAAATTTATCATTTACTGCATCAATCATTTGATTTGTGAATTGTATGCACCGGTATAGGATGGGGGCATACTAGGGACAGATTAGTTCAAAACACTAAGTCCTACCTATTCTGAAATAAGTGGGATTAACTACAAAAGTTAAGTCCTACTTATATATATGTATATGCACCGGTATGAGACGGTGGCATACTAGGGACGGATTAGTTCAAAACACTACGTCCTACCTATTTTTGAAATAAGATGGATTAACTACAAAAGTTAAGTCCTACTTATATATATGTATATGCACCGGTATGAGACGGTGGCATACTAGGGACGGATTAGTTCAAAACACTAAATCCTACCTATTTTTGAAATAAGATGGATTAACTACAAAAGTTAAGTCTTACTTATAAATATGTGTCAGGTCAATAAACCTTTTGAATGACATACCTTGAATAGATTTTTATATATATATCTTTATTGTATCGTGATATGAGCTTGAGTCTCAGGATCATGGTTAGAGTGCGTATATCGCCTAGGATGGATAACTGGACCTAATGATGTTCCTTGGTAGGTCTAGGTATACATGACCACGTTACGTGTGATTTGCATGTTACCTTCTACTCAGGCTAAAACAGAACTGTGGGCTAGTGAGCGTCCTATAGTTTGTATTTATATATATATGGACTACTTTAGTTATTGTTGAGCTATCTAGGATATATCTGCATATTGGGTTTCTGTATGGATTGTAGTAGGATAGAACCTGCATGTGGGCCTGATCAACTCTTATTTTTCAGGTGTTCGTCAGTTCCAGGCTTAGAGTTTGATCTTGCTGAGCAGATACAGTCACTTATTCCTCCGGCTACGTAGGATTGCTTTCAATGTTTAGCTTTGGATTTGGTTTCAGTTGTTTCCTTTTTAGTTTGGGATTTTAATAGGGGTCCACTAGATGGATTCCCGAGTTGTTTAATTAGTGGAGGTTTTTGGATTATTGGATTTTTAAAATTGTTTAACTTTAAGGTTTTAATATTTAGAGTTCTTTCAGTGTTAATTATTTATTTCTTAATTCTCTTTTGTAATCCTGCTTGTTTACATATTAATTGTATGG